AACTGCCGTAAGTCGCAGGTAATTTTCATTGAACTTTTTGTTTTAACGCGAAAAAAAATCCACGGAATGTCAACTTTCCCAAGTCCTTTGACCCCGATCACCTCATCCCCCAATTTTCTTCCCAAGTTCTCTCAATCTCAATGTCCATCCGGTTGTCACTTTGTTCCTCATGTCACCCATCGCTGCCAAGACTCTCGACAAGCAAACGCGTGCTTTCAATTTGAGTCTCCATTACACAGAAAAGTGGCAGAATTCAAAAAAGACAACTGCCACCCCCACCCCCACTGTTTAAACAAAAAAAGAAAAAAAAAACACTCGTTATATTCACGTATGACGCACCGGACGGAATTCAGTAAATATCATAAAGCAAACTCGAATATATTCGGATATGCAAGTGTAACGCGATATCCACCATCTTGAAATGTTTTTTATACTCTTCACCTTATCTCTTTTCCACTTCTTTCGCGTTTCTCTCTTACTTATATCTTCGCACACCAAATAAATGCTTCAGTATCCGGTGGAGAGTTCTGCCTCTCAAACGCATGTTTCGACGTTTTAGTTTTTTTATTTTCAGTTTTTCTTTATTTTTTAGCTTTTTTGTTTCTTTTGAGGGGATGCATGTAAGAAGGGTGTCGAGACTCTTCGTCTCCTTCTTGCGGATCGACGCGAGAGATGGGTATAAGGAGTTTATTTTTGGCTGCCATATGCGAGGTTATTTCGATTTGGCTCGAGGAGGGCGCGAGAATACACCCTAAATAGAGCTCTGTCTTATAGGTTGGAGATTTTTTTTACTGGGAGGGCGTAATGTTGAAGTTGGAGTGGTGTTGATATGGTTCTTCGTTTTTTCATTTAAAAAAAGTTCAAGGCAACAACTTTTTCGTATATTTTTTTTTAGAAAAAAACATTAGCATTTATATATTCATCACTTCACTTGTTAGGCATATTGCAATATAAAATTATTATTAATAATAATAATATTCAATTCTATAATTCAAACTTTTGTATTCTCTTCCTCTAAATGACTCAATTCGCCCGGGTAAAAAAAATTTTTAATTTTGATTTTTTTCCAAATTTTCAAAAAATATCTCGAAAACTTTTCTCAATTTTTTTTTAAACGAAAAAAAATCGGGATACAAAACAATGGTATTTTTGGGAAATTTTTCAAAAATTTGAATAGGGTTTTTTTGTAAATATTTTTCTAGAAATTTTTGCGAATATAATTTTTTCTTTTAATTATACTGTAGTTTTCTTCCTTTTTTGATTTTTCAATACTCTCAAAAATACGTCATCTAAATTATAAAAAAAAATTTCCTATTCAAATTTTTGAAAATTTTTTCAAAACCTTCCCTCTAAATAAAATTGTTTTGTATTCCATTTTTTTTGGTTCAAAAAAAAAAAATTCTGAAAAGTTTTCCAAAAATTTTTTGAAAATTTTGAAAAAATACTCCGATTACAATTTTTTGTTACCCGAGTTACTTTCGTGTTGGGTTTCTGCTCCTGATTATATTTGATTTTCTAAATTTTTCTTTCATCATTTTATTCTCATAATTCATTATTTTTAATTTGGGTGGTTCCCTAACTCATTAAAAAACAGATATTTTTTAACAAAGAATGGAAATTAATCAAAAAATAATCTCATAAAAATATTTGCTATTTATTTATTCGGATTTTCAATGATCACCCTTTTCAAAACATTTTTAATCGAATTATGTTATTTATGTTATTTAGCACAAATTTAATCTGATTATATTGCCCCATCACTATTAATTATTAATCCCAGAAACATTTAAAGTAGCGTGACAATCATTTCTCTTCTCGACTCATTTTTTTTCATCACTCATGTCACTTTGTAACTGATTTATTCTGTCATGTCTGACAATTTTCAATTTATCACCCGAAAATGACAGAACCAATTTATTGTTCCGCACATTTACAGAATACTGTTATTCAACATTAAAATATTTATCCTCCACTTCATAATAATTCGTAAAAAAATAACTAACTCTAAAAATAAGATATTGAAATATTTGGCATTGTGCCTCAAATACGTTCACTTTCGATTTCTCGTCTCGTTGTTGAATGTACTAGACAGCTTAACTGGGATAGAAAAACAGAGTATGAACTACGCGGGATACCGAATGCTCAAAATAACCAAATCGTCATTTTCCTCGATTTTATCTAAATATAACGAAAAATAGTTTTCTTGAGTTTGCTTACATGTGGTAATGGCGTTTGTAGTGGAAAATGGGGAAAGAGTTGGGGTAAAAGAGGTGGAACGTACAAGAGAGTAGGGACCAGGCATAAACGTATAATTGGCTGCACTTAAATCTCTATAACGCAGCAGTAAAAATGCGTGGAGCGCCACGTAAATCAACACGAGTACGATATGACCATGGCCCCCACCTCTTTTTCAACTACCAGTTGTTGTTGTTTCTACGCAAAAAAAAAATCCTTCAATGAGAACGTTAACAAATCCTTTTCAACCATAATTACGTTCTTGGTCATCATTGTTGTTGTTTCTATGCCTAAAATTTAGAATGTCCTTTTTTTTCAATTTCACATTTTAGTTTAAATGTTTTCTTATTTATTGATATCCCACATGTATGACTCCAGACGAAAATAATTTAAGGGAATTTTTTTATGAAGTTGACTGAATTTTGGATAGAACATTTTTTAAATTTTTTTCATTATTTATCTCGAACAGATGGGGAGCTCTTGAATATTTTTATGGATTACCTTTGAGTGACACCTGATCCCAATTTTTTTTAAAGAAAAATCGAGATGAAATTCGGTACAGGACGAATTCTTTAAAATAAATGTCCTGGAGTGAATTTCGTTAATGAAAGTCCAGAGTAGATTCCTCCGGTCGATTTGCCAGTAACGGTACATTACCTCGATATACTTTCTGGCAAAATTAACTGCAATCAGTGAGGAAAATGGTCTCAGTCGTTTCGAATTTCTCTGGATTTTACCGCTGATCGTATCTCATCCATTCCCGTCACCTCAAGAATCCTCATTATTTTAGCTTCATGATTTTAATTGAGAGAAAAATCCATTAACATCTCAAATAATTTTATCTCATGCAATGTCCCTAAAAAATTTACTGATCTCTACTTAAACCCAAGTAACAAACAGCCATTAATTTAATAATGTCATTTATATTTTCAATTATCTGACTTTCAATTTAATTTCAATTGAAAATGTTCACTAAATTTTGTAATCGGATCATTAAATCGTAAAAATTCCTCTTAATATTTATGATACTATAATTAATTGTGGGATTTCGAATATTCACAAAATAAATTTATTCTCATAATTTGAATTTAAATAAAAAAACATCAGTTTTATTCGAAATTTCAAGTATATTTTTTTCATAAAAGCAGAAAAAAGTATTCAGTCTTCAGTGACGATTTGGTTTGCGAAAAGATGCAAATTGTAAGCCATCTTAATATCTCTCATTACTGTCCTACCCCTGGTGCCCACCCTCTTTTTACCTTCCCTGGGGATTTCATAGTGGAGTGAGAGTAGCGTGCAATTAAAAAGCTAAGATTGATAAATGACGGGGAATTAATGCACAGGGTGGAGACCTCTGGAGGGCAGAGACACTAGAGAAAGGTTCAAAGGGAGTGGGCTAACAGTCGAGGGTGATTGCGGGTGGCTTAATGGTGTTTGTATGCATGGGAACTAGTGCGAGGGGTGTTGCGAGTCAACCCCTCGTCTATTCCACGCGTTTGACGTCATGCCACCCTAGATCTCTGTTTTTTTCACTCAAGGACATTTCACGTGTCCTCCAAAAACCACCCATAAACAATCTTTGTTAATAAAAAATTTCAAGATCACAAAACATTTTTCCCAGAAACTTCGAATCTCTACAGTTTTTCCATTTTTCTTTAGTTTGAATTTTATATTTTTTCCTTTATTCACATTTTGTTTATTTTTGTAATTTTATTAAATTATTTATTTAGTTATAGATGCATTAAATTTTATTAAATATAGAAAGTTGTTTATTTTATCTTATTGCGGTGAAATTGATTGGAAATTAAATAGAGTGTTGATATGATTTTTTTGGGCAAAATTTATAACCTTGATACTATTGAATTATCGATGTTCCAATTTTATTGGTCAGGAAATTATTTATTTTTTTTGTTTATTGTTGCAGGTGACGCGAGTAACGCGAGTATCGGTAGTGGTGAGGGTACGGGCGAAGAGGACGACGATTCGTCGGGTAAAAAGAACCAAAAGAAGAGAGGAATTTTTCCAAAGGTCGCGACAAACATCCTCAGGGCGTGGCTCTTTCAACACCTCACGGTAAGTCCCAAAAAAAATTTTTTCTCTTTGCAGGAGTATAAAAACCAGAGATGATTCGCCCTCCCCCCTTTTCGGTTCTGATTTTAACTTTTCTCAAAATTCTCTACCCAAAACCTATACATGGTTCTAGCATATTCGATTTTCAATGCAACATTCATTAGAAATGATTTTTCCACGATTAAATTGTTTATCTGTAATAAACAAAATAGTTTTCCAAATTTGAAAAACTGTTCCCACTACATTCCTCATATTATTATTTTTTCGGATAAGTGCATTTTGTGGAATAAATTATTAACAGCTAGATAGACAATTCCTGAATTATTCCTACCAATTTTAATCCCGAGAGAATCGGAATAAAAATTCTAAAAACCGTTGAAAAATCATAAAAATGACGTAACTCATTGAAAATCAATTACCCACCATATATTTTCATTCACGTGCCTGACTTTGGAAGTCATGTCAGTCACTGAGAAAGTGTACCCCCCAAAAGTGCGATAAATAAATAAATAATAAGGTAATGCAGCGATAAGAGGTTTCAATATCCCCTAATTCACTTTTATTCTCATTCCCTCATTGTAATGATTCACGCGTAATCTGAGCCGCAAAAAGCACAACGCGATTAGCTCTAACAACCCCTTCGATTCAGCAGCACTCACATACGTTGAATTGCGTAACGCACGTACATTCGTCTCCCATTCCCCTCAGGATGAAGCGTCGGGTGATCGGGTTACCTTGCAAAGCGGTAATCATATTGTAGCCTTGGTTAATGCCATTACCGTGTGGCGAGGGGTTGACACCCTCTCTTACACCCCTCCACCCTTCTCATCATCACGTGTGTTCAGGAGGCATAGGGATGTCGAGAGGAAACGGGAGGCTCTGTGGTTTATACCAATTGTATTGGATATGACGTTGCCATAGTGGAGTTTACGGTTCGTTGGGTGCACTATGTTAACCTTCAGTAACCTTCCCTCATTCGTATTGGAAACCTAGAATTTTACGTGGCTTTTATCCACATATTCGTGGTACAAATTTATTTGAGAAACTCCCTTTCACTGGTTCTACCGAAGACATCATTCGGATCTCATTATTATCGCAATTATTACCAATTCGATAAAAAAAGATATTATTAGACGAACTTTGACGGAATTCAATAAAATCAATTGTTATTTGTCACAATCCATTTTGAAAATTAAATATTTTTTATATGGAATTGACTCCAATGTATATCTCATATAAATTATAAATATATTGTGATACTCTATTGAATTGGTGTGTATCATATATATTGTTTATAAATTTTTGCATCGGAGGAGAGAATTCTAGATAGAAAGAAAGAGTGAATTCAAGAAATACCCCGCGATATTAATTATTTCATCGATCTTAACAATTTTTCCTCTTTTATTATTGCGGATAGATTGTGCATATTCATTATTATTGATAAAATAAGAATTGATATTAGTATGGGGTGAATGTGGGCTCGAATGATCAGGATAATCCATTAAAAAATTATCAACGGTGACACCTGAGATCGGCGCTTCGCGTTTTCTATCTCATAAAGAAAATAATGAACCCGCGCGTTGTCGGCGATTGACCAAGAAAAATACCGCCATCTCGTTATTTTCACTACCCAATAACTTACCGTTTACGACTGAAAATAATTTTAAAATGAGGGCGATGTAAATATCCAAACAAAACCACTGACTCATGTTTGATCGATATTAAGGGTTGACTGAAGGTTTTACGCTCGTCGGGATAAACAAGCGTCTGGCCCTCGTAAATTGATGAGTCATTAGCGTACAGCGCCAATCAGCAAGGATTTAAACGTCAAATGACATAACCTCAAATATATCAATTCCGGATGTGATTCGTCGTGAAAGCCGCGAACGTTTTGAGCGAGTTTTTTTAATAAAAATTATTTAGAAAAATGAGAAAAAAAAAATCTGAAGAAACAGCGATTTGCCCTCGTCTCGATGTTTTATCGGTGGCCAATCGCATCGCGTCTCACTACAGTAGAATCGGAGGGAATAGGATGTACATGAGGAAAAAGGAGAGAGTGAAGGGGGAGATCTGACCGCATCTCCGAGCCGCCTCCGACAGCCAGATATAAATTAAATTAATTTGATGGAAGCGGAATCCCTCGGATCCCTCCATCTCCCTCTCACTTTTACTCCCCCTCGACCCGTTGTTACTATCCTGGGCGCATATTTGCTCGACCGCGGCCACGTCGTATCTATCCGACACACAGGTTTGATTAAATTTCGTTCCAGTTACGCGAATCTCTCGCGTCAACGGCAAGAGCACGCAATATCAACGCCCTCACTAAATTCCAGACAATCCTCTGGCACTCTGTTGTCATTAATCATCGTTAATATTTTTAGGATTTTAACGGGATTCACTCGTACATTATTTCTAACTTGGAATTCACGAGAAAAGATTTCGGCGGCTTTGGGCAGTGCCCAATAGATTAATATTTTTGTTTGAATTTTTCGCGCGAAATCTGGAAATATTGATGACGGTTTAATTCCACTGAATGGTTAAAACATTTTTTTGTAACGAATTCGGAATTTTGGGGAGAAAATTAACAGAATTGTCTGTTTTTTTCCGGTTTTACTTGAAAAATAATTAAATGGCAGATTTTACAGAAAATTTGATGCAATTAGACAGTGAAAAGTTCTGAGAATAAATCCTCTGTATTTTTTTCATAAAAAAAAATAAATTAGAATAATATAATATTGGATATCATTATTCTTAATCTATTTTTGAAAATATAAAATTTTGCATGTCAGCCGACTGATTACAGAAAATAAATAATAATAATGATTGATAGAACATTGTGTCCGGGTAAAAAAAAATTGTAATTGGAATATTTTTTTCAAATTTTCCAAAAAATTCTGGAAAACTTATCGGAAATTTTTTTTTTATGAAACAAAAAAAAAACAAAACAATTTTATTTTTGGGAGATTTTGAAAAAATTTTCAAAAATTTGAATACGAAAATTTTTTCTATAATTTCGATGGCGTATTTTTTGAGAAAATTGAAAAATCAAAAAAGTAAGAAAACAACAGTATAATTAAAAGAAAAAATTATATTCGTAAAAATTTCTAGAAAATGATTTAAAAAATTTTCCGAAACAAATTTTTGAAAAATTTTTCAAAACATTTCCCTAAAATACAATTTTTTCGTCTCCCGATTTTTTTTTGTTTAAAAAAAAAATTTCTGAAAAATTTCCCAGAAATTTTTTGAAAATTTGGAAAAAATATTTCGATTACAATTTTTTTTTACTCGGGTGGCAACTCTTTTCACTTAAAAAATCACCAAACAAAGAAGAAATTTCTAAAAAATATCTGAAATTGTGTTTAAAATGAAGAATTTGCTCAGCTACGAAAGCTGCTCTATACAATTCAATATCTCAAATTTATGAAAGCCATAAAATACAAAAAAAATTAAAATAATGAAAATAGCGATGGATTCGCCAGCGAAATCCTCGAGCAGACGGAGAGATTGATGACCCAACCGGATATATATAATCCATTTTAATTTACCCGAGAGATATATCCGTCTAGTCTTGCAGTTTTCCATTGGTCTGAATGCTAACCTCCGCAATATAACGTCTAAAGTCTAAAGCCGTGTTATTTCCCTCCAACCCCATTCTCCTATGTTCACTTTGGCATCCTATTTCGTTACTCTGCTCTCGGTCTTCTTATATCAATGGAAACATTCAGTGGAATTACATTCCCGCTCTTCCACATACCTAACGAAAACGACAAACTCAGTCTTTTTCCGGGTCTAGATATATACCGCACGTTTTTCGCCAGAGTATTCATTTGCTCAATTCCTTTTTTCCCTCACTGGACAGTTTTTCTCTCTGGCGTAAAGTCCGTCGGTCGTCGCAACCTCACGTATCACTCTAGGTAAACGTATCCCATGAATTGAATTAAAAGAAAAAAAGAAAGCCACTAAAAATTCAAAATACTGATAAAAAAATTATAAAAGCAAGAATGTCAATAATTCTGATTTCATCTGCCCCATAATTTCACTAAATTCACCCCTGAAGTGTAGAAAAATCCCATATCTCGTAGCGATTGAAGTTTCCTCAAGTACCCGAACAAATATAAACGGAATACGTAATCTCGACTACAAGTCTTTTACGATCCATTCACTTTACATTGAGACCCCCAAGGCTTGAAAACCGATCGTCTTGAAAATGTTCATGGTTTCTCATACCCATACCGGATATCTTAAACAATTTGCATGGTGGGCCGAGGGGTGAGAAGAGAATCGTAGTGGCAGTTTGTGTTTTTTTAGCAGTTGTAAAAAGGGGTACTCAGCACTCAACTTGACTCGGGTGGAGCCACCGTTGGATTATTTCCCCCTCCAGTCGTTTGAGTGCCACGCGGAACGTTTTATGCGGCCATAACCGTACCTCGGCATGGCCCACTTAGATCTCCTATCTGCCTCCTGGGGACGAGGAGTGACATCTATTGTGGCCATCGTGTCCTGACGACACCTTCTAGCAGTATCCAGTGACCGTGCGCTCTTTAACTGTCGAATTTCCGCACCTAACCTAGGAGATCCGGTGATTTAGCAGGTTAGCTTGATCACCGCATGAGTCAGCCATTGAAAACCACCGGATTGGTTGGCAAGAGTAAAAAGTAGGCGTCTATCTTTCTCTGGCGCCGCGGCACGGGCCGCATTTGAATATAATACTTGGCTCTGTCAAGCGCGGCAAGTCAAGCAAACTGTAATTATGTTGATGCGCACCATTGTCCGCGGCACTGTACCTCCAGACCCCATGCAGTTTTTCTTTTGCTTTTGCTTATCGTGTGCGCTCAAGTGTCGCTGCAACATACGCCCACGCCGTCAAAGTCAAGGCATATCGATTTTTATGGGGTTCACCTGGAAGCTTATAGCCTCTGATTGAAAACCCTCCGGAGTGATCAAGTCTAATGATGATCTGATGCTCCGGTGATATTAGATCATGGGGCTAGAAATAAAGAAAC